AGAGAGAGAGAAAAAGACCAACGGCACTCAGTAAAGAGATCCAGGATGAAAAGGTTTCATAGTTCTAGACACTGATGTTCACAGAAGCCACAGTAATTACAAGGATCTATCAAATACTTTATCAGGCAATGTGTGAAATACTTTACATTTTTTTACTCATTTAATTATTTTAATCACCCACAAAATAGATGTGGTATCTGTTTTATGGATCTGGAAACCGAAGCCAGAAAAGTTACATAATCTGTCTAAGATCAAAAAGATAAGTAAGAGTTCTGATACTGTTGAATTCAAGAATCCACAAAAGGTGTTTTTTTGTTGTTGTTGTTTTGTTTTTTGTTTGTTCGTTTGTTTGTTTGTTTTATGAGGAAGAGAGGTCTAGAAAAAACCTCAGGCGAGCAACTCCAAGGGACTGGGACAGAAGTCTTCTGACCAGTACGCTTCCCAGCTCCATGCGTCATTACTCTCCTTCCTGAATGTAGGTCCTTTCAGAGGAGTCACGCAGGTTAGAGATGGGCCTGATTTACAAAAGGAAAGAATGGAAAACCATAGATAAACGATCCACCTATCATTCTCATTTTCCTCCTCAGACTTCCATCCTTCCTCATCCATGCAAGAGTGCAGACAGGTATGCTGCTACGATCCTTCTTCAGTTAGGATTGTGGGGATAGAGGAAGGTCCTCAGGAACATCTGATATAACATGCCTTTCCAATGATCTTATTTGAAGATGCTAAGAAACCACATTAAAAACAACATTAAAACAAGCAGTTTTATCTGGGGTTAAAAAAAAAAAAAAGTTTACATGAAAAACTAGACCAGCATTTGTGAAATTTTTTGCTGCATGTTAACTCTTGTGTCCCTGCCCTTAAAGCCATGTCAATCTGAAGCTTTAAGTATTTAAATGATCAACTCAGAAAGCTTTGCGCTTAGCAGTGGAAAAATGTGATGCTGTGTTCTAACTCAAGGAAACTATTGAAATCCCCACAGCAATAAGGTGGGGATTTTGCAAGTAGGAATTAGCTAATGAGATTACAGTCACAGTTTATTCCACAAATGTTCTACCCTCCATTCAGTGTTATTTTAACCTGGGAGGGAGAAGTTCCCAAACTAGTAACTATATTTCCTTCACAAAGGGCATAATCTGGAATATGTACAAGTAAAGCTGGGACATATAAAAGCTGGAGAAAGAATTTTTATTCTTTACTAATTAGATCCTAATCTGAGTACCTGCCGTTCACAAAAAGATGTTATATAAGTGATGATTAAAAACATTTACATATAAAACACCTTTTGTTTACATTCACACATAATTATTCATTTGATCCTCAATCAATTGATGGGACCAGTGAAATTATTATTCTACACTTCAATCATGGAATGTGCCAATGAATCTTGGAGTAGCATCTTGGTAGAGCTGAATCTTAAAGTAGTACAATTTTAGAAGTCATTCAGTGCTGGCTTCTCATTTTACAGACTGAATCCCAAGGATGTTAACTCTCCCAAGGTCATGTCAGTGGACCACAGAGCTGGGCCTGTACCTAGGTTCTCTAGCTCTTTCCACTATATCACTGGCTGACCCCAGACCACACATCCCAAATGGAGGAGTGGGCTACGAGATCCTGGGGCCTGGACCAGTTTTTCCACCTAAGGGTCATATGATCTGGGGCAAATCGCACTTTCTCTTTGGGCTTCTGTTTCATTACTTCTAAGCAATAATATTTAGAAACAACCTTACAAAATTGCTGTGATCATTAATTGTGGTTACGTGCATAATTTATTTGCTCATAGTTCCTAGGTTCCTGGAAAACATGACAAAGCCACCATTACAGTTGAAATGACCACCTGAGCTATGATTCCACCTGACTGTGATTCTTAAGTGAATCAGTTTGGGCCTGAACTGGCACAGAATTTTTTTTCTGCATGAGCATTTTATATCAGAACCAATTATTATATTATTATAATAATTATTATATTATTATTATAATCATTATTATTATTATTTGGTCTTTTTGAGACAGGGTCTCACTGTGCAGTTCAGGTTGGCCTTGAGTTCACTCTGTAGCTCAGACTGGTCTTGAACTTGCAACGATCCTCCTGTCTCAGCCTCCCAAGTGTTAGGACTACAGATTTTTAAATTCTTGAGCTGAAATTTTAATTCAACACCTTTCATGAGATTCATCCAAAGAAAAGCAAAAATAAGAATAGTGTTATAGGGGCTGGGGATTTAGCTCAGTGGCACAAACGCCTGCCTGGTAAGCTCAAGGTTACAAGTTCGATCCCTGGTACCAAAAAAAAAAAAAAAAAGAATAGTGTTACAAGTTATTAGTGTTACAACACATAACTCCTAACGTATATGCTAGACTTGGTTCTAAGTATTTTAAATGTATTTATTTTCACCAAAATCCTGTAAGACAGTTCAAAGGTGACTGAGCCAATAAAATTTGGGCCTTTAAAAAGATATATTTAGATTGACATTAATTTAGTTCTTCATTAGTTATTTGGCCATAAAGAAACACTTGGAGATTCTGGATTGGATTTAAATTAGGAGTTTAAATGGTACCCTTCCGATTTAATTTGAGGTAATCTTTCAGTATTTCTCTGACCCTGCTGTCTACTAAAAATAGCACATTTCCTCCACAGGCAAGACAATGTGATACTGACTTATTTTTTTTCTAATGCTTTATTATAAAAATTTTCAAACATAGATAATCTGAGAGAAGGTGGTGCATCCCTGTAATTGCAACACTGTTGGAGGTAGGAGGACTGCAAATTCAAACTCAGCCTGGGTAATTTGGTAACTTAGCAGCTTGGCCAGACCTTGCTTCAACTTTTAAAAAGGAGTGGGGGCAGGCATGCTGGAAATTTAGCTCTGAGTAAAAGTCCTGGGTTCAACTGTCAGTACTGAAGAAAAAAAAGAGAATATCACTTAAGTCCATTTATGTTCATTTATGTCTATCACCAAGCTTTAATTAATCATCCTTTTTAATGACTTTTTTCCTTAACCCTACCCCATACTTCTTGGTGAAGGTTTTTTTTTTTCTTTTAAACAAGTACTACGTGCAGACATAAACATTCTTATGGGAAGCCTGATACAGAATCCCCTATATGTCACTTAAAGCTACAAAATAATTCTATTTCTTCCTTCCAAGATTTCTAGTCCTAGGGCAGGAGATTTAGCTCAGTGGCATAAGTGCCTGCCTGGCAAGTGTGAGGTCATGAGTTCGATGCTTGGTACAAAAAAAAAGAAAAAAATTCTAGTCCTTTTATTCTAAGCCTGTCCCTTAGTACAGGACAATATTCTAACTCATTTTCATCTGCCTAGCTGGCCTTTGTAAGTAGCAGAGGAAAAGTGCCAGCCAGGCATAATTATGCACACCTATAACCTTAGCACTCTGGAAGGCTGAGGCAAAAGGATCACAAGTTCAAGCCCAGCCTAGGCAATTTAGAAACTTTCAGATGTTCTGTCTTAAAATAAAAAAGGGCTGAGAATGGAGCTCAGTGAAAAGACCCAGCTTCAGGCCCCAGTACTGAATAAGAGATAACAAGAAAAAAAAAAAAAAAGAAAGAAAGAAAGAAAAGAAGTTTCTGCAGGATTTGAAACATCCAACTGACAATAGTAACTATAAATTCACTAGAGAAGGTTAGAGTTAAAAGGATTCTCTAATACAAATATTCTTCTTGGTAGATGAGTAAACAGAACCCACCCTTTGAGCTGTCCCAAGCCAAAGAAATACACTCAGGAAATGAATACAAGACGCATGGAAAGCAAGCTCCATTTCAGCACCTTTACCTATTCCTACCACCTCTGTGAAAGCCACAGCCATCTTTTCGTGATACCTCCAAGCACCATTGACACATCTCGGAAGCACTTCACATCTCTTCGGTAGGGTAATGACTGCTGATTTTTTATTGGAACATGTTTACTGTACATTGTTTACATTCATCTTAGGGAGTAGACATATGTGTACAACACATCTTCTTTATTTCCCCTTCACCTGCCTCCATCTCTATATCCCTTTTTTCATTGCCATTATTATTATTATTTAGTTCATGTTTAAGACAATCAATGTTTATATTCATTGTGGCTATTTGGTATGAATACCTGACACATCTTAAATCTTTTTACTTGCCCTTCCCTTCCCACCCTCCCCTTCCCCTTTAGTTCCCTGGATAAGATCTATTGCCCAGTGTTTATTTGTATTTTGCCTTACTCAAATGAAAGGCACTATACGTTTGTATATCTGATTTACTTCACATAATATTACATTTTTCCAGTTATACTCATTTTCCTACAAATGTCTCTGCTGATTTTTAAACCGTGGAGGTCAAAACCAATCCTCACAGCATTTAATAAGGTACCTGATAAATCCAGATCACAGATCTGTACAGTTAACAGTTTTACTTGACTACATCCTAGCTAAAGAACCCAAAGCCTATCAGGCTTACTATTTTCCTCCCTCTTTTCACAATCCCTGGCCGCCCCGCTGCTTAGGAAGGATGTACTACCGAAGAACACAGGATAGAGATTCAGAAAGACTGAGTTTGTGTCCTGGCTGCTAAACTTATTATATGTGACCTTGATCACATCTCTTCCCAGGGAAGAGAATCGGCAGGTTACATGAAATCCCCGTGGATCCTGCTTTCTCTCCAAGATCCTCTTCTGCAGGCAACACCATGCCCAGCCTCGTCCCTCCCACGGAGCTGCGGGTCAGGTCAGCTCCCCTGCCACGCGGTTCACACTCTAGGGCAATGCATACTCACCTCCCACTCCCAGGTTGACCTTGCGGGGGTCGGGATCCTCCCGGAAATCGGCAGTGAGCTTAAAGACCAGTACAGGCTGGGCTTGAGGAACCTCCGCAAACACTGACGGCGGAGCCATTCTGACAGAGCAAGAAATCACAAGACGGTGCCAAGAACAGATCAGTGAAATCTGCCCGCTGAGATCAGAGGAGACTCTCACCTTCACCCTAGCGGGCGGGGCCGCCCCAGCCTCCAATGGTCGGGCCGCGTCCGGAGCTTGGCAACGCGCTTAACCAATCAAGAGCTTCCAGAAGGGCTGATAGGGAGGGGTGAATTATTAGCCAATCCGAAAAGAGAGTCTTATCGGAACCGGTAAGGATGCAACCAATGCAATGTACTCTGGTGGAGGCATGGGCGGAAGCTAGAGTTGATTGGCAGAACGTTCCCCAATTGCTGAGGCTGTTATTCCTTGGGGGCCTGCGAAAAGAACGCCACAGCGGCCGGAGTTCTCAAGAAGCAACCTTCTTGACCTTCCAGAGATAATCGCTTGGTGACCGTGGACATGCCAGCAAACTGGTCAGAAATTTCTGTACCCATTGAGTAAGTGTTCTCCCTCCCAACCTAGGATTCACGTTCCCAAAGTGGTCAGGTCGGGTTGGCAGCCAGATAGATCCCTGGCGTTTGTACGCAGAATGTGTTGCTCAGAGGCCACGCGAGCGACCTTGAGCATCTCTGCTGGCTGGTTTCCGAAAAGGAAATATAAATGTGCTGCTGGCCTTAGTCTCTGTTGGGGAGACCCTACCAAAAGTGAGGGATGACCACGAATTCCTTTGAGTCTCTATGTTCTGGTTTGAAAATTTTGCACCCCAGATCCTTATAGACAGGCCTGGTCCACAAGGACCTTGAGGATCTGGACCGAGTTGCCTTCGGCTTTCCTCCCCCACAAGCACGAAAGCAAATCATGCTGTCATTAGTTGACTCGGGGCCAAACGGGACTCTGTCAGGCTGTACCTACCCTTTAGGTTCCTTCTTCTCCAGGCCCCTTTGCTTCCTGTTGACCTTGAAGACCCAGAGCAAATGTCAGTCCTTCATAAAGCCTTCCCTTAATGCTCACCCTGATCACAGTCTATTTTCTGTGCTTCTGCGCCTTGTAAACCATATTACAGTTTTAGAAAATGCTCTTGTGGAACCTTCCTCTGAAACCAGACTTACCTACGTTCAGACTGGTTGTCATTTACTCACTTGGGCAAGTTTAGACAAGTTATTTAACCTCTCTGCCCCTGCTCTGTAAAATGCAAATAATAGTATTTTCCTCTGGATTGTTGTGGGCATTATGTGAGTTTATAAACACACAAAAAAGTATGTTACAAGCACCTCCTAAATGTTAGCTATTGTTTTCATGATACACCTGCCTCACTTTTTGTAGAAATACATGTTTTGGGCTTGGGTATCTGACCCTGTGTAAGCCTCCCTCGGTTTCTTGCACTTACTAACAATAAACACTGGAGTCACTTCTCTTGATTCTTCAAAAGCAAACAATATCATGATCTGTTCATCGGGTAATACAACAAATCTGAAAAAGAAATTTCCATTCAAAGTAATAAACACAAGCCAAAGAACTTTGTCCAACACCTATCAACCTTTTATACCATCTACTTCTTTTCATGAACTTTGTCTCTGGATTCAAAGATGACTGCTCCCAGAGTTTCATTAACACTTTCCTTCAAGAACTAAAAGTTAACACTGACAGTCAAACAACAATGAACTCTCAGTGTGTCCAAAAGCAGAGGCAGCAGGCAACCACTGAGAGGGGTGTTCCAGAGCTTTACATTCCCAGAATTGGATTTAGAAATAGGCTGTTAGCCAACAAAATCATGGTCACAACTGTGTCATTCCCAGTGAGAAAAACAACCCTAGATTTCCTAAACACTATCAATTTGGCCAAATAAATATTTGTCGACAACCTAAGCAGCTCCATAATCAAGTACTGATAGGGACAACAACATGTCATATGTACTTTTTCATGTCCCGTGATATCTGCTTTGAATTCTAGAAAGGACAGTTACTAGATATGGGTAAGGGTTAGGAGAGAAGCTTATATATTATGAGACCCAAGTCTTAACTTTTTCCTTGGGAATGTGAGGTTCTTGGAGATCAGGTTCAATACTGTTCTGTCTTGACCTTAATAGGTTGTCCCCTAAGTAGAATACCAGTCTTGAAATAAACCAAATGTCTTCCAGGTCATTGCTAATATTAACACTTTGACTTAGAATTGACTCAATACTGCCTCCTTGCTGAAGTGATGTCAAACAAAAGCCTAGGGCCTAGCATTGTGCAGACAAACAGGCAGCCAGGTAAGTATTGGGGACCATAAGAAAAGGACCATAAGAGTCAAGAGAAAAATTGGCTGGATTTTCACTGCCTTCGGATTTCCTTATGATTATTTGTTAAAGCTTCCCTCTTAAATCTCTTCTTTTTTTTTTTTTTTTTTTTCAGATGCATGTCTTGCTACTTTGCTTAGGCTGGTCTCAAACTCCTGGGCTCAAGTGATCCTTTCACCTGAGCATCTCCAATAGCTAAGATTACTGGCACATTGAAACTGGCGTGTAGTACATACCTACAATCCCAGCACTAGGAAGACTGAGGAGAATCGCTGTTGAGTTGAAGACCAACCTAGGCTACATAATGAGTGCAAAACCAGTCTGGACTATATAGTGACCTGTCTCAAAAAGAAGATTACTGACATGTGCCACCACACCCAGTTTACAATCTCCCTTTGGACTTTTTCTCCTTCTCTTTATAAGAACTGGAAAACAAGAGCTGGGAATCCACACAGCAACAGCTGTGCATCTGGAATAAATTCCTTTAGAATATACTCCCTTGGAAATCCGAAGTTTTCTCAGATTGGATGACTGTAGCCACTGCCTGGACCTTTAAGTAAATTCACACCTGTGTATTTTAGTCAGTTGTGTGTACGTGCGCATGTGTGCGTCTTTTTGTTACTGGGTTCCACTATGCAGTTCAGGCTGGCCTTGAATTTGAAATGATCCTCCTGCCTCCGTTCCCAAGTGCTGGGATTACAAGTGTGCACCATCACACTCATCCTGTTTTACTGTTTTGCACTTGAACACCCAAGAGTTTTAAATATAGAAACAAGTCAGAGGAGGGTAGAGTTTAATCACCCTTTGCACTTAAGCACAATGTGTTTTTGGATGGTTATATTTGGGTGTAGACTATCATTAAGGCTAGAGTATTATTTAGATGCTGAGTTGTGTACTAGACAAGAGTTTCTTTGAAAATCAAAACTATAGGCTGTGGTAGCTTGGTGGTTGAACACTTGCCTGGCATGCATGAGCACCTAGGTTTGATCCCTGTGACTGCAAAGGAGAAAAAAAAGCTGAAAGAGGAGTTGTTAAAGAGCACAGTGTGACTGAAGTGTGGACGATGAGTACAGTATAGTCCAAGCACAGCCAAGGAACATGACCACTTAACCCCCCCTTCCATATTAACTGGCTTGTGTCTTGGGTGTGTGTTGGTAGACTCCTCTCTCCTTGCTTCTCCCCCTTAAATTCTTTCCCTACCTCCCTTATGAATGACTCCCTCTGAGATAGCAAGAGAATTAAAAACTGTTGAGCAACACGTCCGCCTTCCTGGTAAGCAGCCATGGCTCCAGCAAGCAACAGGCAAGCCAGGAAGAGAACCAGTCAGCATCTCCTGTGAGCCTACCGTTGTGCGGGCTGAGAATCAAACATCCCATTCCTCCACCCCCCATTAGCAACTGGGCGCCAGAAGTCTGCACATCTATTGGGAGGATGACCATGTGCAATACAGCAAATACGGGGATTTCCTTCTATCTTCTTTTTGAAGGCAAATGTTGTTTTCACTGTTTTGCTTTGTTCTGATTGTTTTGCTCTATTCAGTATTGTGTTTAATGGGTTTTATAATGTTCTGTTTTTGGTTTGATTCTGCTATACCTGACTGAGTGGACAACTACTGTGAAGATAAGGAGATACACTGTGGGTGTTACTGTTATCCCGGTGTAACTGTTATGTTATCCCAGTATCCTGCTGTGAAGTTCTGTACTAATTTCACTATATTATCTCGATTGGCTTTGTTCTGTCTAGTTCTGTTGTATTTTACTACCTTCAAAATTAAAAAAAAAAGAATTGAAAACTGTTGATGATTTCATTTACTTGTTGCATAAGTTATAAGTTAAATAAGTTATACACTTAGAAGCTGTGCTATCACAGCCTTTGTACTTAATAAGTTGTATAGTGTACAACTTCTTAATGATTAAAATGTTGGCTCCAGGAACTGTATTTCCTCTGAATGAAAGAAAAGAAAGAAAAATTTAGAGCTCCCCAAGAAGTTTTATAGAGATAAATTCTCAAAGCAATTTAAAGGTAACAAGATAACATAATCAATGTGTAAATATCTTAATATTAGCTCTTGTATAGTATGCAGTAGTATTTCTGTATTATCTTTTTCTGAAGAAAGGAAAATATTTTAGAAACACCATTCTACTCTTCTCTCGACCTGGGAGCAACTGTCATCTCCGCTCAAACAAAGAAAAAAATAGGTTAGCAAAAAACAAATGACCCTCCAGATGATAACAGAATAAAAAGGCTATATAAATCTTAAAGTCAAAAGAAATCTTCCTGTTTTTTGGAGGGTGCTCATATCCTAAAATCCTTTGTTTTGGTACAAGGCAGATCTAAATGAGATAATGAAGAAAGAAAATTCAATAGATTTGAAAAAAACACACTATATTTAAAACAACTCCTGCTGGGTGTGTTGGTGCACATCTGTAATCCCAGCACCGAGGAGGCTGATGCAGGAGGATTGCCATGAGTTCAAGGCCAACCTAGACTACATAACCATATTCTGTCTCAAAAATAAAAAGATAAAAATACCACTCATAAAGGCATAGTTTACAACTGTGTAGTAGGTCCTCAATCTATTGCTCATAGCTGGTTGAGTTGTGTTTCTAACATCTAGCAGTAGAGGGCAGCCCTGACCTTTTGCAGAATATTAAGCACTTTGGAAGGAAGTTAAAAGCAAAGCTCCTAATCCATTATATTTGTTTACTCTTACTGTATATGCTTTTTTAAATTGGAAGTTTTTCTTATTGTTTAGATAATAATGTAGAAAGAACATCAGAGCTTAGATGCCTTGAAGTGGTAAACCAAGTAACTGGATAAAAACACTGTTTTAGTTGCCCTGCTCAGGCTATCCGGTCTGCAAAAGTGCATTGTAGTTTGACCCTGAGTGATCAGATACGATCATTGTAGGAACAGACCCAATGTGCCTGCATTTCTGTGATAGGAGTCAACCTAAGAAATAGCAGAATGTGATTTTTTAAAATACATACAGTCATATAGTCTTAGTCCTGATGACTGCTTCTAAATTCTTGCCCACTGCCTTTACTCTGCTCCATTAGCATTTCTTCTTGTCATACCTAGGTCAGATCAGAAGCATCTCCAATATAGCAGATGTATTCTGGCTTTAAAGAATGGTGTCCATATGCTGAGTGAGGGAAAGTTTCATGAGAATGCAGTTGGCTAAATGGTTAGGTGCGAACATCAGTGAAACACAGAAGCCTTGCATGCTAGTCATCATTCCATGGCTGTATAATTTATATCTTTCTATCCAGTAAATAGCAAGAAAAAAATCTATGACTTTGTAGCAAAAGTCACTTGGCTAGAGGACAGAGAAAAGAGAGTAATTCTGATTTTAGCAAACATAAAATCATAGTTATATAATGCTATATTCCTAGCATTTTGGGGTTGTGCTCTAACCTTGAAAATATTATTGGCAAGAAATTTTCAATGCCAATTTAAACAAAACACTTTGAAATCTTAATAAACATTTCTATCACTACAGCCCAAAGAAAGAGCTGCTTATTCTAAATTTCTATTAGGCTTTACATTTCGTTTCTTATTTGGTATCATTGAGGTTGCTATGTTTACTTACTTACTTTTTTCCGTTGGCTTAATTGTTAGTTTCTTAAAACCTGAAATAATCAAATATACTTCTTGTATCCACCATAGCAGCAAAACATAGGATATATATTAAAACTCAAATACATATCTGTAGATTAAAAATAAACTACAAAGCAGAATTAACTTATTAATTATAAAAAATATTTACCACCTTAACTATTTTCAAGTATGCAGTACATAGTTTTAACTATATATGTACATTTTGTGTAACAGATCTTTAGAACTTTTTCATCCAGAATTAAATTTTCTTGTCGTTTGGTTTGGTTTTTGGTTTTTGAGACTGGGTCTTGCAGACTGGCCTTAAACTCACTGTGTAGTCCAGGCTGGCCTCAAACTCAAGGTGATTCTCTGGCCTCACACTCCTAAATTCCAGTGTTACAGGCATACACCACTACGCCTGGCAGAAATAACTCTCTATAACTACCTTTCACATTATGAGTACCTGCTTTTCTTTTTTTTTTTTTTTTTTTTTTTTTGGTCTTTTTCGTTTTCGTTTTTATCGGTACCAGGGATTGAACTCACCACTGCCTGCTTGCAAGGCAGGCGCTTATGCCCCTGAGCTAAATCCCCAGCCCTGAGTACCTACTTTTCAAAGAACTGCTTTATTGATTGGGCAAAACAAAAAAATACAACTTGTGTGGCAAAACAAAAAAATACAACTTTGTGGGACTAGATCATCAAAACACTTGTACTGTACACTTTTAAATTCACCTTTGTCTCATGGCGGCTCTGCCCTATCCTCTCTCCAACCTGTAGATTAGCCATTTCCTATAAACCTAGGAATAGATGCCAGAAAAGAAAGTGCCTTTACAGACAACTATTCCAAAAATAGCAGGATATACTATGGTAATCAGCCTTAATTTCCTATTAACTTAATCTGAGGCCCTGTATTACTTACACTGTCTTATTATGACTGATCTTATTTGAATCTGGTTTGTTAGATTGCTGTTTTGTCTTGACTTATTTTATTCGAATCTGTCAGGATTGATAGTATTAAGTCTTGAAAGTATAGGCAACTACTCTGAAGATGACAAGATTCACTAGAATACACATTCTGGTTTGACTATTACCTGCTTTTGAAGTCCTATAATGTCTCCAATGTTTTATTTTTATGAATATTGTTATGTACTGCTATGTTCAATTATACTATGCCTCATGATATATTGAAGATAACACAAGACATAGTAACCATTGTAGATCACTTTGTATTGTGGTTTTATATGTCTTTTTCATTTCATGTTTTTTTAGGAAGTTTGTTTTGTCTTGTTTTCTTTTGTTTTTCCCTCTAATACAGAAACTATAGGTATACATGTATACTCATGCATGCATAGAACTTCTAACCAGTTTATGAGAATTGATTATATAATGCATGATAAAATGATCAGCTACTTTGAAGAAAAAGAGACACTAACGTACGCCGTGCTGATTCCGTAGTGTCTTGATGTGAAATCCAGCAATACTATTATTCTTTGTTCAGAGTGATTTTAGTCTCTTTTGCTTTGTTTAATTTCAACATACATGAAAGTACGGACAGCTCTTTTGAAGAGAATGAGAGATACTATGGCAGCCATTGTTGACTTCCCTATTGTCTTGTCTTGAAGACCTAAAATGCCTTTATCATCCTGTTCTGATCAGTTTTATACTATTTTGTTTTGTATGAACTCACTGTATGTGAAGATATGGACAACTATTTGGAAGAAAACGAGACAATATGATAGTGAAGCTCTTCAGTTGTCTTGCTTTGAAATCTATGTCTCTTACATTGTTTTCTTATGATCCGTTTTGTTCTGTTTAATTTTACCCTCTTTAAAATAAAATTTAAAAAGAAAGAAAGTGCCTCTACAAAGTACCCTCACAAGTCACTCGTGTCTAGCATATACTGTAATTAGACATTTTGAGAAGGATACTATCAGACTAAAAATATAAACTACCTTGCCAATTATTTGATTTACATAATATCAAACTTTTGTTAGTTACTGAAAACAATGGACTCTTTTAAATCACTGTTGCTATCACAGTAGTATTTTTATTTACCTGGCGTAGATACAGACAGGATCATAGAGTGAAGTTGTCACAGAAGAGGGACGTAGATATATGTGACTACAGGTAGTTGGCTGTAGGTATATGTGCTTTTGGGTCTCTCTCAAAGAGAGCATGACTGCATTTAACTGTCAAATTCACCTTTCAAAGCCCACATCTCCATCTAATGTTGTAACCATCCATTGTTATGTCAAATTCTTCTGGATTTTTAAAACTGATTTTCTCCTTTGCAGTAAGCAGAAAAATAAAGTATAGATAGATTTAAATATTTTATATTATAAACAGAATACGGAAAATAATGGAAATTTTGGATTAAGGTAAAATAGACTTTCCTAATCATAACTCAGTCTCATAAACCATTAAAAATAGTTGATGTTGTATGAAGAAAATATCACTTATCATATTGCCTTACTAGTGTGAGAAGCTGAAAGAAACTATATACATAATAGATAGTTAAGATACCGATTTCTCTGAGCTCACTGAAGCGTTTGTGCTAGTATTGTCTGGATGATTAAATGCAGGTGTCTTGTACTGATTTGAATCAAATAACTGAATCAGTTACTGAATCAGTAACTGATTAGAACATAACAATATGCAATGTATACACCACTGTTACCCCTTACTTATTGTGTTTTGAAATTTTGTTTTATTTTTTCTCTTTAAAATAAAATAATAAATCAATATAGATTCTGTGCAAATAAAAGAAAATATAAATTAAGATATGATGACATAACTTGGAAAAAATACTTTCAACATATCAGTCATATCTATTAAGCACCTCTTTGTATTGATAGAAAACTAATTAAGTGTATAGAGAAAGCAGTCATAAATACAAATGACCAGTAAACATACTCAAAATTGCCCTCACTACTACATTAAAACCACTAAATGCAACATGCCACTTGACCAAGAAACTTCTACTCTAAGGATCTATCCTAAAGAAATTTATGTAAGTTTGCAAAGATAGGTAGGTGTAGCTATACACAGTTATGCATCGCAGAAGCCTTTAGTAGGAAAATTAACTATAATTTTATCACCTAAAAAATCAAGTTTTTATTGTAGAATAACAAGTCCGAAAGACACTTTATAGGAATACAAAATGGACATAGTTTCTAATAATGCTAGCTAGAT